TAGCGGCTTGCCCTTTTTCCATCCCCACACTCTCCTACCTCTTCCATTCTCCTTTTAGGCCCTTTTCTCCTCACCATTGCTAACCGTTTTATTTCGGAACCCAATAAAACCTCATTTTCCAGGTTCAGCTTGGAGAATCGAAATTGAGGCTCTCCCTCTTTTCACTTTGGCTCCCAAGGGCCACTTATTTTTCAAAGTTTCTGTGTCTGGGCACTTGCTTGGATGGTACCTACTAATCTTTTCCGTACCCTCTTTGCTTGGTCCATGACCCTGGTGCTTTCTCTCATGCCGTATTCAGGTGGCCCCCTCGGTCACATGCTATGATCTCATGTGCCAGCGTCAGGGCGCTATTTTCCTTACCGTCGTTGGCCCCCTTCTTCCTGCGGTACGGAATCTGGGTATTATTTTTCTGGTGGACCTCCTCCTTTCATGTAGCATTTTGCCGCCCGCAATTCCGCGGTATATTCCTGGTCTCAAGGTTCTAGTGGTCTTCGGGCTCCTCCAGGGCAATCCTGCCTTAGTCCTTCATCCTTTCTTTCTCTCTTGCCTCCTCATTCCGAATTCCTTTGTCGTGCACATCTTAGCCATATATCATGTCTCAAGAGCCGTGACTTGGTTTGGGAACCAAAGGTCCCGACAGCGGTCAAACAACTGACGACCTACTGATGTTGGACAGACTGACAAACATGGACTGACCTCTTGACGGACTGCAGACTGACATACAAATTTTGAGAGACTGATGGACTGATGTCAAAAGGACAGTTTGCCGGAAGAAACTCACTTGGTAAAAGTCTTCATTGGAGGGATGTCGTCGGTCAACTTTGACGGATCGCAGGGGCCTGGCTAACTCACTGTCGGTCAGCGTTCGAACTCAACCTTCGCTAATACTTCGAATCAGCCGCAGCTGATGATTCACCGGCAATTCCTGTTTGCAAATTGATGCACCCTTTAGGGTCTGCAAAACTGGTGGTCAGCCGAGCAGGTAGGGCCTGCCAGTTGAGGGTTGACTTACCCTCATGTCGCCGGTTGACGCCCTAATTAATCAATGTCGAAGCCAGCACATGCCAGCAGACCGCTCTTTTTCTTTGGGAACCTGTTGCGAGGGTCTACCCCTCGGCATAAGACCCTGCAGCAGGTGCGTGCCCCCCCTAAGTGACGGCAGGCCCCCTCAATGTCAATGTGCCCTGGTCTCGTCAATTTTTGCAAATCTTGCTGGGCGCCAGACAGTTGGCGCGCGCCAGTTGGCTACATCGCTTTTCCTCGTGAGAATCGGAAATATGCGTAAGCCTTCCAAGCTCTCCCTGCAACGTGGTAGAAACAAGGAGCACCACACGCTTGTGCCTGGGCCGTTGGGCGTGCCTAACCAATTCGGTCCCGGACCATTGTCTGAACGGGCCTAGGGCGCAGACACTTTGGCCGAGACCGAAGTTAATGGAAACTCGCCCTCAGAGGGCAAGCGAGAGACAATGAGCCCCGCCACTTCCCATATCGTAAAGGGTTGGGCTTTAGGGAGCTCGGTCGGGTACTTGTGTGCAGATGCGGTAGCGCTGCTGGAGCTCGCGCTCCCGGGCTGCTATGTTAGCGCACGGGCAGGTGTGTGTGAGCGTGCGGTCGTGTGAGAAGGCAGGGCGCTGCTGAGGGAAGCGCCATAGCCAGCCCCCACGTAGTCGGGGCTTCGTTTAGATAGCCAGTGGAGGTGGTGGTGATCTTCGTGTATGAGGGAGAAGACGTGGGTGATGAAGTCAAGGGTGTGTGAGAGAGAGAGATGGGGTTGATGATGTGAGGGCACGCATCTGGTCTTGGTGATGGTACACAAGGGTCGACATGTTCATGTACTTCGGTTCTGCTGCTGACGTTAACAGGTTGCATTGTTAATTCGTAGGCTGGTAGTAGCTGTGTGATTGTAGTCTGGGCACTGAGCGCCAAGTAGGAGGAACGGCTCTGGATACATTTGTTGGTGGTGGCGAGAGTATGCTATCATTGACATTCGGTTCCGGTGCTATGGTTGTCCGTTGGTGATATGTCGGTGCATTTCTGCTTTCTGGACAGCTTTGGACTTTCTGGCTTTCATTGTGATTTTGCATTCTGGATTTTTGTCATTTCGCTCTCGCTCATTTTCGTTGCACTGCTTTCTCGCCAAAGCGCACCAATCACACAGCAACTATCATCACCGTCAATGTTGAAGATGACGAGGCACTTCCCAAACCACCAACCGCCGCCCAGATAGTTGAAGGCCAATCAATTATTTTTGTGGATGCACCCAGTTGTAGCTCTGATACCAACTGTTAAGTGCCTGACTGAAACGAGATACGCATGGCATTCACACGTTCCCAAACACGTGCAACGACACGCGATCTTGGAGAGCGATTCACACCACACGGGATGACAGAATACACAATCGAAGCACTCAAATACCCTGATATAGAATTGGCATTATTAAATCCAATTCTAACTAACCCTCTCTACTCCTGCCAATCAAACACTGTTTCCCAGAATCCCAACCACATTATTAACGCCCATGAACTAATTACAACAGAGCATCATAAACTAGGGGAGACTTTTTGGTCCTCCCTCGACGTTGAGCTCTAGCCATGGCGCCACTTTAATCTCCAACGCCACACCTACTCACCTCTTGAACCCAGCACGCCACTCTGCCTCAACCATGATGCGCACTTCAGATGACCTGCCCACTCAACAGGGTAGCATGGCTTCAAGGATGAAAAAGAACCGCAACTTGATGAAGAAGAAGATGGCTTCTACTTCAACACACTTCGAAGAAGAGTTTCGATGTCAGCGCTGCCTATCCCCAACAGCACAGGTAAGAGGCTCCTTACAGCGATCAGGGCCTGATGCCCCGCGATGTTGCATTACGAGCTAGCCAGCCCCAACTATGGAGGACAGGCTCAGCTGCATGAAGATGACGCCGCAGGCGAAGTAACGCAGCACCGGCAGAACGTGACCTCCAGCAGCACTTCGTGAAGAAAATGAAAAAACAGGACCGGCTCCCCATCAGCCTCAAAACTTTTCTTCCCTCAGCCCTTACTCTACAGACTAGGGCCGACCTACCACTAGGGCAGAGCAAAACAGGCAGCCTACGGCCTACGTACCTACACAGAAAAGTGGCCAAGGGGTAGACAATACACGAAAACAACGGCCTACAACCTACAAAAGACAGGTTCAGGGATCAAGGCCAAAAGAGCTCCAAACTCCACACACGGTTAGGGCAGCCCCTGTTGGCATAGGTCCAGGGATCAAGCCCCGGAAGAACAGGACTGTGAAAAGTTAGAAAAAGCACCTAACTACTTAGTTTACAGCCCGCTAACACCTGCGATTCATTGCATTCTTACCACCCCAGCCCCTGTTGGCATAGGTCCAGGGATCAAACCCCGACGGACACAAAACTATGAAAAGTTAGAAAAAGCACCTAACTACTTAGTTTACAGCCCGCTAACACGTGCAATTCATACCCCCCCGGGGAGCGAGGACCCCGAGCCAGGTCACTGGGTCTCGGTGAAAAGATCCGAGTAGGAGCGTCCACTGTGTCTGAGAGGTTGCCCTTTTCTGTTCGGCCTCATAGGATCGCACAACTGAATTCACAGACTTGGCATTCCTTCCGCATAAACCATTGATCCTCAAAATAAGATTGGACGCAGAACTTCACAAGATGTTCACAATCGGGGCCTGTGCCCCAGTGGTCGTCTATGCTCTCGACTTCATACCCCTTTCTTCCAAGAATAGGAGGTCCAAACTGCGGTGGCCTGTCTGGAAATGCATCAGCAGGACGGAAAGGCACCAGCTTTGAAGCATGGAAGACTGGATAGGTTTTGATGTGAGAGAGTGATGCTTGTTAGCCTGTTCGATCCTCTTTTGGGCCTGGAACATATTACTTCCAGCTTTTTCTAGGTCTTGTTCACAACTCTTGGTAAACTCTGCACTCCCAGGGGGGGTAGTTTAGGCTTAGACTTGTCAATCAAATCATCCAGAGGTTGTCTGGGGTCTCTGGCAAAGTGGAGATTATAGGGTGTAAAGCCTGTAGTGCTTTTGAACAAAAGTATTATACATCAGTTGTGCCCTGGACAGATGTTTGTCCCAGTCCTGCTGGTAAGGTGTAATCACAGGATGCAGAAGCTGAAACAGGACTTGGTTCATCACTTCAGTCTTTCCAGGTGAAACAGGTCAGGTGTAATCACAGGATACAGAAGCTGAAACAGTTCTAGCTGCCTCATTGAAAGTCCAAAACATCCTTCTTTTTTTTACACCACGCCGTCGGGCCGCTGCGTCCAAAAGTTTCCTGACTTCAAGTTGGGCCTTTCGAGTGGGCCTCACTCCACTACTCACGAAATGCAAGGAAGAAAACAAAAAGACGGTGTATCTTCCCATGTTCCAGCGGGAGATTCATTTCATTTTCAACACATTATGAGTAGTGGATCGAGGCACATTGCCTCCTGCCCCATTCCATTCCCTGTTCCCAATACTCCCCGGAGTCTCCGCCCATCGTTCACGTCCCCACTCGTCGTCCTCCTCGCCACCCGTAATTGCCCATCCTCCATAGCTTCCATGGCCGGCATCGCAGGTGTGACCCAGCAGGAGGGCTTTGCAGTTGTCATCGGCAGCCGCAGCAGGCATCAGGACTCGGGAGACGAGCACGGCCGGTTACGGGTGGGAGCATACAATTGTGGGTGGGTACGGGTGGGTACGGGAAAAGAAAACCTGGGCTGCGTAGGGTATGGGTGGTTAACAAACAGTTTGGGTTCAGGTGGCCATGGGTGGTTTTGAAAAAACAATGTACATGGGCAGGTATGGACAGTTACAGTCTGAAGAGGTTCAGCTAGGGCAGGTATGGGTACACGTCCTTTTCCTTTGGAGGAGGTAGAGATGGGTAAAGGTCCGGTAGGCTAGGTATACAGTGGGTATGGGTGATTGGTTTTCAAAGAGGGTGCGGTGAGGTTGGGTACAGGTATTCCTAAAAATCCCGGTTGCCAACTCTCAGATGCACATACCACAGGTCTAATGTCTTGCCCTTTCTGTGCACCGACCACAATCTGGACACAATGCTCTCCATTGCCTACACTCGACACTGGAAGTGTGTTCTCCACCTGCACAACCGCATCAGCGCCCTCTGGGACAGGACCTGTAGAGGAAAGTTGGCACACAATAGAACTGATTTAACAATAGAAACATTCCAATTCTTCCTCACAAACTGCATTCCTAGGAAGCTTGAGAACAAGAGGCAAATAAACACAGTGACACTCAAATCCTTAGAAATTAGAACCGTATCTGTTAGGCAGACGCATGATACACTGATAAAATTAACAGCGAGATGGATGGATAAATGCCACCACTTTAACCGTTGTGTCAAAAGACACAGGACAGAAACAGGCATGTGTTGTCCCACCAATTCTCATTGGCCCTGCGTAACTATTCCATGGTAGAATGCACCGTTTGAGAATCCGAAAAGCACTCCAAAGACCACACACATAAATGATGTCTAACTCCTGGCAGAAATGCATTCACATCTAAAAACAGAGAATGGATTCCACCAACTCCCATAACAGTTACCTGGAGACTAGCAGAGACTACAAATTTACCAAGCAGCAAGAGACTCCAAGCAGAACAAGCATATATGAGTAAAATTGAAAGCAGAATTACAAAGCCAAGAGCACACCGAAATAAGAAATACGGACACTGAAGTCTCTTGATAAAGAAAGCCCAGTTTATCACCTCCAATCACCAATACAACCACAATGTAGCAGCTCCACTATGATATGGCCACATATACTTCTCTACTGTTCTCTCTCTACACCCAACCTACTTCTCTCCCTAACGATGCTGTACAGTCTGACAACCTTGCCCACCGCCAGGTATGTCCGCCTGCTCCCACCACTGTCCTTCTTCCCTGATCACCCCAGCCCCAGCGCCACCCTTCTTCCACCTAAGTGTCGCTGTGGCTGCCGCTGAGCAGAGAAGCTATGCTGTGACTGTTACTCACCCTTTTCTTTAAGGAGCGCTGGCCTGGCCATGTGCACTCTCCACAGTGCTCGCACTGGCAGCCAGTGCCTCCAAATGTGTGGAACGCTGCAGTCCTTTTTTCTCTAGTTTACTGGAAGCCACAGCTGTCTGACTGAGACTGGGCTCTTCCCAGACCGAGAACCTTCAGACGGAGTGCCAGGGCCCCAGCCTTCAGACGGAGTGCCAGGGCCCCAGCCTTCAGACGGAGTGCCAGGGCCCCAGCCTCTGCAAATAACCTGGACGATGGGTCTACCAGTTAGTTGGAGAGGCTGCACCAAGCCTTCTTTCCAACCGTCTGCCGCCAGCTTCTCTTAGGGCTGGCAGACCACTACTGCTGTGGCCTTCTCTTAATGGCCGGGGCTAATTTTTCTGGGTGGCCGCCGGTGGAGGTCTGCCAAGGCCTGAAGCCCCACAACAAAGCCGAAAATTCTATACCGTATGACACTGACATAATGTTAGCACAAGAAATTCATACCAGACTCTGATAAGCCACAAAATTCAAAATTGTACCTACCCATCCATACCCCTTGAAACGGTTTCCAACTTTCCACCTTTGCAGTAGCACATGCAGGTCCCAGGGCTCGATCCCTAGACCTGCCCTGAACCCGTGTACAGTACACTTTGCCCCACCAATGTTTGAACCCGTTACCAGCCTCTAAGTTGTCTGTATAAGGTTGTAGTAGATTTGAGGGATAAGTCGGATTCGAGCTACTTACCTGTAGGATAGAAGCCGTAGCCTGTGTTGGTAGCAGCTGCTGTAGGTCCGAAGGGTCAAAATTAGTCGAAGCTGCTACAGTACCGAAAGGGTAAGTAGAAGGTCTAGAGCTTTCTAGGACTGCCCCTTCGAGAGTCTCAGAAGCAGTCCATAGGCAAGTGGGCAAGTGGGTAGACTTACCAAGTCTAGTCAGCGGTACCAGTCCCAGTCGCACCTTGTCCAGTCAGCAAGTACCATGTGGGACTGTGTGCACCATGGGCCCGGTGGAAGGAGGCAGACCAGCGAGCAACAGAAGTATAAATCAAGAAGCAGTGTCCAGCCATTCATTCATTCAGACTGTGAGCCGTGCGGAAGCACTGCCAGAGCGACTTGTGCAAGGAGGTCTGCGAGTGCCCGAGGAAGAAGAGGGCTGAAGAGAGACGAAGCGGTCATAGCCGCCAGTAAGTGTTAGAGGTAGAGTGCAGCCATAGCTGCTAGAGGTTAGAGGTAGTGTACAGCGTGTGTATGACTGAGTGTGCAGTGAGTTATATGTGTGTGTGGGATATCCAGGGAGATCCAGAGTTGCGTGCGTACGAACAGTGCCGAGGGAACAGCGTGCAAGAGTGATGTGTAAGCGCGCAGGCGCCATAGCCAATTTGAAGCGAGTTTGTATGTGAACTGTGTTCCCGGCCTTAATATCTCTGAGCTCGTGTGCACGCCTGGCGCCAGTGTGGATTGCCATCTGTTTACATGCATGCGGAATCGGGAAGAAGACGAGGCTGATTGCATTGGTATCTGAGCTGGTTCCCGCTATTCCACCCGCCATCGTCGTCACGAAGAGGAAGGAGCCACCATAGCTGCGCC